TCTTTCTTCTCTACTACTGTCACTGCAGAAGCAGAAAGGGGCTACTTGGAATCGAGGGCCATTTTGGTTTGTTTGTTTCATGGGTTGTCACTGACAGAAAAGTTCCATCACCAGATGGCCAGCCTATTGATTTTCCATGAGTAATTATGCTGGTCCTGGGAAAACAGACTTATTCTTTTCAAGGGCCACACCCAAAACTTTGCTAATAAAGTAGGACCTGTCAGAGTTTGAACTCTACTGGTATAGCCTTTGAGAATACAAGGTCACTTCCATCTTACAATAAAGCAACAGAATAGGACTTTGGAAGCAGGCTATTTTTATAAACAAAGAATATAGAAAGCAGGTGGTGATGTATAGGGAGCTACCTAGCAATGGCAGTACAATATTGAGGAAGCAATTGTTCCTGAATCAATCAACAGATCTTTACTGAATTTCCCTTATGTACTCAGCATTGTGGTGGGTACTGGGGGAGGTGGTGGTGGTAGAGTGCATATGTAGTATAAGATGATCCTTGCCTTTGAGGGGCATCCAATATAGTAGAGAGAACAACTAACGTACAACAGTATAAGACAACATGTGATCAAATGATAAATACTTTGATGAAGAATGTAAAAAACTCTTAAGTGTTTAGAGGAAAGGGAGATCAGTAAAGACTAGAGTTATAGGGGAATGCTACTTGGAGTGGGTGCAATCATGGGCAGGATTTTGAATTTTGATGGGGATAGGAGAGAAAAATACAATCCATGTGAAGGGAAGCTTAGGGAAGATATAGAGGCAAGAATGAAGATATATTCCCAATTGTTATGTATAACATGGGTGCACCCATGAACATGCACTCCAAGGGAAGAGAAACATACTCTGCCTTAGCTTTGAAAAACTCATGCTTTGGGATGATGCAGAAATCCCATATTGGTCCCTTAGTCACTGTGAAGATGGAAAGGCGGTACTGTGCCAGAGGATTGATGACTAAAGGCCTACTCAGTAGTCTTTAAAGGGGCTGGGTGATTCCCACCACACCCCTCTTCTCCTTCTCATTAGTGCAAGTTTCTTGGGCCTCAGGCAGCATCTCACTTAGACTATCCATGAGGGAGAAGGGGAATCCCCAGCCCAAGTAGCAATGATGACAGCACGCACATGGTAAAATCGCTTGTACTTATATCCAAATGATTATCAAGTAAGTCCTACCTTAAAATGTCCCTACAATTATTCCTTCCCCACCAATTTCATACATTCTAGCCCAAGAGTCCCAGGATACTGAAATAGCCTTGTAACTGGTCTCCTTTGCTTAAATTTCTTCCCACTTCAAGTCAACTTGTACACCATTGTTACACTAATCTTTATAAAAAAATATAAAGTTTTCCGATTACTTATTGGGTCAAGTCTTTTGAGACCCTAGACCTATCACTGCTTCAGTTTCTTCATCTGTAAAATGAAGAACAGAGACAGAAAACATGTGAATAAAGACCAGTGGAAGCAGAAACAGAAACGATAAATGTAATGGGAGCAACAGATCACTAGGAAAGAAAATATTTCTAAAGTTCCTTTTCAATATAAAATTCTGTTATAGTCTAAACTAATATTTAAAGTTAGATTCCAACCCTTCCCTACCTCCAATCAATCAAATACCTAGTGAGTACCTACTAAATGCCTGTTCATTTCTGAATACTTCTCCTCATAAATCTTTTGCCTAATCCAGGATGGACTTTTCAGTGCCCCCTTAACAACATGCTGACTCTGGGTTCCAAGTCTTTGTTGTTTTACTCTTACTTAATGTTTTTTCTTCTTCTTCTGGTAGTCAGAGGAAGCTAAAGTTGAAGCCACCTTTCCTGCACAAAGCCTTCATCAAATTCTCTCATGCACAGAATTCTGTCCTTTATCTGACTGCATATGCTGCTTGGGGCACAATGGACAGAGTGCTGGGCCTGAAGTCAGGAAGACCCATCTACCTGAGTTAAATCTGGCCTCAGACACTTACCAGCTGTGTGACCCTGGGCAAGTCACTTAACCCTGTTTGCCTCAGTTCAATTTCCTCATCTGTAAAATGAACTAGAGAAGGAAATAGCAAACTGCTCCATTATCTTTGCCAAGAAAACCCCAAATGGGGTCACGAAGAGTTGATCAGACCTGACTGAAATGACTGAACAATACCAAAATGCTATATCAACCTGAGCCATTAAACACAATTACTGTAGGACAACGGAGAATCATTCTCAAGATCTTTCACAGAGAGTATATTCTGAATAATAGTTTTCTTCATCATCACATATTTATTGAGTGTCTACTACTCACAACAAAGGGAATATGGGAGTTGTAGTGTATAGACATGTGAGGTAGGTGAGCCAAAAGTCAGAAATTCTTTAAAACAAGATAGATCTACCAATCCACAGAGTTTTCACTAGGCTAATCCATTAGGCAAATGCATAACTGTATTCGTTAGTCTAAATTTCCTGCAGTAAAGTGATCAAGAAGAATCTGAGGGCAGCTAGGTGATGCATTGGATAGAAAAGGTGTACTTGGAAATGGAAAGACCTGAATTCAAATTCTGCTCCAGATACTTACTAGCTGTGTGACCCAGTGCAAGTTACTTCCTCTCGTTCTGCCTTAGTTTCCTCGTGTGTAAAATGGGGATAATAATAGCACCTACCTCTCAGGGTTGTTGTGGAGATAAAATGAGATAATATTTGCAAAGTGCTTTGAAAACCTTAAAGCACTACATAAACGCTAGTTACTAAGATTATAATTATTAATAATAATGTTATTGAGAACTGTTCAAGGAAATGACCCTTCCTCATGTGTCATCCTTACAAAAACACATGCCCAAGTACCTCAGGACACTTATGATACCAGAATTCCTCATAGGGGCTCTTGTGTTGTGAAAAATGTACATGTACGGTAGGGGAGATTGAGGCAAGAGTACATTAAATGGTGTACACAATGATGACATAAGAATTGATGAAGAACCCAGGAAAATAATTTATACTCTTTGAGAAGCACTACTATCATTAAGTTCCTTTCCACTGATCAATTTTTAAAAGTATTTCACTATAATAGCATGTTTAGGAAATGACTAAGTTTCTTGTCTCTTTTTATTTTAAATCAAATAATTTCTTAGTTTTTCTTTTTTGACAAAATGAGAATTAAAAAAAAAGTGTTGCTTTTTAAGTTTCATTCTTAATCACTGAGCACTCTGTTGTTGAGTGTTGAGTGTTGAGCTTATATTGAAGTCAAATACATGAATATTTATTGATTATATTAAATGCAAGGTTTACTATACCTGAAAATGCTCACCCAACTGTGATTATGCTATTAATCTTTATGTATACAACATTTACACACACAGTTTGAAACATATTTTAATTTGTACACATGTGCTTATATATTCACTGGTGTCCTGGATTTTGGTTATGGTGATTGTATTTCTACACATTTTAATTATAAGGTCTCCAAAGGAGAGAGTTGGTTTTCTATTTTAATATCACATAATTTTTTAGAGCTGAAAGAGAACTTAGAAGTGATTTAGTCTAAACTTCACGTTTTCCAAAAGACCCTGAGAGGTGGAGTGATTTATTCAATGCCAAACAACTAGTTAGAGTCCAGTCAGTATTGGAACCCAAGGCTCCTGACCCAAAGGTGAGTCCTGCTTTTCCTAAATCATGCTTCTTCTCTTCACACAGCCTAGCCCAGAGCTGTACACATAGATAACCAATAAACATTGCTACATCTGATCTATACAACCAATAAATATTGGTATATTTGATCTACATAGCCAACAAATGTTGGTATATCTGCAACAGCCCTTCAAAAATGTTTGGCCAGAAACCAATTTTACTTTTTCTAAACTTGTTAACCTATTTGCAATGCTTCCTCTTCCTGATTTCATGTTATACTATTTTGGGGCTACTTTATGTAAGCCAAGAAAACAAACCACACAATCGAGAGTTGGTATGGAACAGTGAGAAGAACAAGGGGTTTGGAATCTTAGGGCTGGGGTATCAATCCTGGATCTGATACTTCCTGCTTGTGTGACACTGGATAAGCCACCTTTCTGGGCCTCAGAATCTTCATTAATAAAATAAAAATGTTAGACAAATTAATCTCTAATTATCCTTCCAGTTCTAAATCTATGATCTCAATTCTTCACTTGAAAATCAGTCTCAAGCCTGGATTCAAGTCATACTATAACCCTAAGTGGGTCCTATGGTACTTTAGGTACAAGTACGATAACTACATTTTGCAACATCAGACTCTTCCAAAGATGCTACAACCTAGGACAGATTTTTCCACTTTATAAATCTAAGAAAAATGCCTTCATTTGTTCCATTTGTTCATTTCAGTTCATAATTTCTTTTCCATTTAGCAAGAGTAACAAAAAAGGATAGCTTTAATTCCTGCTATGGTTATATAATTTCTAGTTATACTCTCCAAGCATAGTCACGAGACTAATTTAAGTCCCTGAGTTGTGGTGTTACAGAAAGTGGGGGATGTCAATCATTTTCCATATTGGCCCAAAAGAATTTCATGGCATTCACACTGTCAGATTTTGAAAGAGATTGCCTTAAATACTATGGGTATTTTTCATTTTCAACATATTTATGTTCTTGGGCATTAAGGGCAGAATCTCAATCCTGAGATCAAAATATATGCAGAAGATTTATAGTGTTGCCTTCACTAAGTTCTGCAAACATAAAATCAGGTCCTCTATTGGGAGCTGGATTGCATTGAAAAGAACCTATAAAAACAGTATACGTTTCTATTGCAGTTTTGGGGGGAGGATACCAAAATGCAATATATTTCCCCATGTAAAGAACAGTTTGGGTTTGAATCTAAATTTCAAATACTGAAGATTTTGCTTCTAGTGGGGCTCTATTATGACATCATACTAGTACAAACTCACCTACATCTGCCACTTGACACATTTAAATGAAACTATCAAGTCTCAAGTTCATTATCTAGTCACAGATGAGTATGTTTTCCAGAACAGGACAAATACTGAGTCTTACCTGCAGGCTGTTAAAAATGACGAAGAGGACCAGCATCCAGAGGTGTCTATAAGCCATGTGTAGTCCTCCCCAAAGCCATGTAATGGAAATCAGAGCAAACAGGTATAAAATCAGTGGGATTTCTAGAAATAAGAAAAACAGTTTCAAAATATTGACTATGTACAGAGATTCTTTGTTGGTCCCTTTCTTGTGACATTGTGGAAATATATTGAGAATAATAATGAAAAAGAAATATTGGAATTCTCATTCCTGTGCCCAGTTGTGATAAGATGTATTACTACGTTGACACTCTTTCTTCTTTGCACATGGGTGTGTGAGTAGGTGAGTAGGATGTAGAATGATAGGAGCTGTTCCTCTCCTAGACTACCACCTGCTGGACTATTCACAAAATACCATCGACATTTGACTATAATGAAAATACATTCTAACCCAACTGTAATAGTGATACTCCTACAGACTCAGAAACCAGACAGGTAAGAGGGAACCAGATACAAGGCCCTCTCCCACTTGTCAGGGCTATGTGCTGAGAACAGAAATAAAAATGAGATAAAAGATTTGCTTCTGTTAGGAAAAAAATAATACCAAACACATCATCTACTTTTCTATTTAATGAGAACTGAAGCTGGGAATAAAGCTAAGCACTGGAAGTGGAAATTATTTTAACACATTGCCCTAGATATTTATCAATATGTTTCAAGTATGCTTCATTTCAGCATATTTTCAGTGCAAATTTCCCCTTTTTCTTTTCTTTTCCATTCTCTTCTTTATGGGTGTTTTAAGCTTAAAAGGGGGATTTTAATATTCATTTGGTAGATCATATAAGACTCAAAAAAGAGTAGATCTCTGTAAAATGATGGGCTTGAATTAACTGATATCTCTGAACCTTTCTGGTTTTAAATCTATAGCACTATGACCTTAGACATTGATGAACAAAAGTTCTTTCCTGCAGTGAAATGTCAGCTGAATGGACTCTGAAACTGGCAACTCTCTGGACAGACCTCAAAGTCCACATCTACCCATATCTTTGAGTCCAACCTAGAGCCATATGTGCTACTATTGATGCAGCTTTATCATATTTGAGAAGTAAAGGGATTTATAGGTAAAGGAAAATAAGTGAGACAGTGTTTCTTTCTCGGAATCACTGATGTTGCTTTTCTGGTTTGTGATTCTCATTGTAAAAATAAGATAAGAATCATATAAGCAAAATCTAGTATAATTACAGGAGCCCATGTCATGGCTCCCTTATAGAAGGGCTACAAAAAAGGTACCTAGAGATAGCTAATTTTCATGTAGATTTGCTTTTAGTACAAATAGATATTATTCAATAAAAGGACTACATACATCTGCTTTTACTTATGGCAAAATACCCAAAGTCTGGAAAAATGCCTGAACCGTGGTCAAATAATTTGCCAAAATTGGTCCACAATTTGTGCACTGAATTTGTAGACTGCAAACTTTGTACCCACTATGCACACACAAAATTCTATTTATGTCTCTGTACACAGTACAAAGGGACATGTACATTTTTGGATGAACAAACAGGGCAGCTATCTTTGAAAATCTGGTCCCTTTGCCTCTATGAATGCCTAGAGCAAAGTACAAGGAAATCAGGTGCTGGGAAAGTCCTGCTGGGTAAGACGGCATCATGGAATGACACTTATTAGCAACACCCATTTTATTTTGAAGTTCTACCACAGTAATGACTCTTCATTTTTCATTCACTAGAAAGAAGAAAATTGAAACAGACACCTAGGTTTCCCGCTATAAACAGCTCAATATACCAAAGTACAGTGCCAAAACTGGTTCTCTGAGGGTGAAAAATAAATAATTAGGAGCTGGTTGACTTCAAGTGGGATCTGTTCATACCTTTTTAACCTCTGTAGAATAAAACAAACCTGACTTGATTTCAAAGGCCTTTGAAAGTAGGAAAAGCAATAAGTGAGAGTAAAGTGGGTTTGGAGAGTAGATAAATAGTGTATTCATGTAATGAAAATGATCAAGTTTTATTATTATTAGGATTACAGAATTTAGAGCTAGAAGGGACCTTGGAGAGCATCTAGTTCAATTTAACACATACTTTTATGTGTTGTTAGCCTCTCCCTTGATAGAATGTAAGTTCCCTGAGGGCAGGAGTGGCTTCATTTTTGTCTTTGTATCCCCAGCACCCAGCACAGCCCCGGGTATATATCAGGTGCTTGATAAATCCTGACTGAATTGTTGACAGGAACCTGAGGCCCAGAGAATTTAAGTAAATTTCTCACATTCTCAAAAGTAGCAAACTGAGTATTTGGATCCAGGCCTTCTTGCTCCATGTTCAGTGCCCTTTCTACTACCTAAAGCAAGCATTTCAAAATAATTGAACTACTAATAAGTTTCCTATTAGGTTTAAACTTTAGCTTTCAGCAATTTGAGTATTTATAGTCTTGCAAAGGTAGAAATGATATTGTAAAATGCTATGAATTTTTTTAAATGTATCAATCTAGAGTAGTATCAGCAAATTAGATCACTAACTAGCAAAACCTCAAATTAATCTAATAATGATCATTTAAAATAGGAAAGAATAATATATTTGTTTGAGATATGGTAGTGAGAAGGCTAGGAAATAAGGCTGCCTATATAACAACCATGTCAAGAAAGCCCAACTTGGGTCATTTTTAGGAAGATAGTATTTTCAAAATCCAGTGATGAAATTAAACAAAGAAAAATGTTGTGTTGGACAGGTGCCTAACTTAACTATGAGTCATTCATGAGAAAAACTGGTTTTAAAAGGTGGTAGCAAAAACAATTAACTTCTTAAAACCTGCAAAGAAATTTTAACTTCTCATGAGATTTATATGTTAAACTTATGTGGAAGAAAGAAAAACTGAATTGATATCATTTATTTCTACCGTTTACTATATCTAACGGAAGGAGTAGAGGTACTTTTAAGTTGGAAAATAGGGATAGAATTGTGTTCATTGCATTTTTAAAGAGTCTTGTGCAGCATTTAATGTTCCCTGTAACTGTAGACCTGTTGTATTATTTTATACCACTAATAGTAGTATGGGGATGACACCCTATAGAAGTGAGCATGAAGTTCAGTCTGTGTTTACCATCCTTTCTAAAACTTGTTTAAATTTTACCCCTTTGGCCTTTTAGTTCAAACAATTGGAGAGGTGTTGTAGAAACATACTCTTCAAAGTAAAACAGGAGAACCCAATCTGAGTCCCTGAGGACACAAGATGGAGGACTTCAAGATAAGGAGTAGGAATGAGTGCGGAGGGGTGTGGACTGTGGCTCCTTCATTTTGAAATTAATAGCATTTAGCAACAGAGTAGTTTCAGGGTGCTAAGATTTCTTGATAAGAAAGTACTTAGTGTGTTTCTGGGCTAGCAAGCTTTCTTGACAAGAGTTAAGTATTTAATCAAGTTCTGAATAAACAAGGTATAGTCACCTACCTGTGTACACAAGTCAATAGAAAAATGAGACCCAGATTTCAGGGAAGTACCAAACCAGCATCAGGATGGTGAGAGCCCGACGAGTTAACACAACAAAGGTAGTATAGGGGAATGACAGTCTCTGCAAACTATTCCAAGGAAAACCCAAAGGCCTAATTTCAAGAGTTATGAGATCCAGCCAAGATTTCCTAAGCTAGTTCAAATTGTAAGAATTTCTCTTTTCATTGTCACATTCCTCTAATTAAATAGAGTCTTTGCAAGTGTATGTAAGGGGCTACAGGTCACTCTGCTTACTCTCATCTCCATCAACAATCCCAATGAGTCATCTCAACAACTTCTATCTTCACAATATTATGTCTCACAAATCTTTTGCAAGGGCTCATCTATTCCTATACCACTTTGGGTCTGTTTTGGGAAGAACTCCTGTTTCTAATGTACTAATGTAATCTTCACCCTAATGAAAACTTGAGTTCCCCAGTTGGAGGAATTCTGAGCATTAGTAGTTCAACATCAAAGGAAAGGTAGTTTAGGTGGACAGTAGTTCATCTTACACTGTATAATTTTCATTATCAAAGGTCTATTTCTGGTTCAAACCCAAACTGTAAGAGCATACGCCCTGACTTAAACTGCCTAAGAGGGTCCACTGAAGCAAAGAATAACACTAGCATATCTAGTAGGAGGTAGCTAGGTGGCACAGTGAATACAGCACTGGGCCTGGAGTCAAGGAGAAACGAATTCAAATCTGACCTCAGACATTTACTAGCTATATGTGACCCTGGGTAAATCACTTTACCTCTGCTTTAATCCATTATAGAAGGAAATGGCAAATCACTTCAGTATCTTTGCCAAGAAAAGCCCATGGACAACATGGCCCATAGAGTCATGAAGAGTCAGACACAGCTGAATGACTGCACAACAATAGCAGGATATCTAGCATTCAACTTATCTAAGGTTTCCAGTGGCATTAGTTTGAAACATGTACCATTTTGAGGATTCAAATCTCTTCTAAAATAGGATCAGAATAACCCCAAGGAGCCTAATTGCAGGGGCAGGTATTGGAAACTCTTACTCAAAAACAGATCCCAAGGATCCCAAATACTATAGAGGCACAATGACCCAGGGGAAACCCAGAGCTCACCTTGCCCTAGGGGTGATTCAGGAACAGGCTCAAAGACCTAAGGAAAACCCAGAGCTAACTTGGCTCTAAGGATGATTCAGGAACAGGCTGGATTTCCCAGCGTAGGTTACATGCTAAAAAGACGCAGATAGGTCTCTTTCAAGTCTGAATTTGCAGGCCAAGAAGCAAGCCAGCACTGGCACAGGCCGGTATGGTTTCCGTGGGCGAAGGGTAGGGAATGTAGGGCAAATTCTCAGTGGAGTCATTCAATCCACTGAAAACATAAATAGCCATATGACTTGCCATGGACTCCCAGTGGTTCCATTGTATGGTGTAAGGAAAGCTTGTGTGGATGTTTTATCTGACTGTGACTTATTAGAATGAAATGTCAGATTAATATGGTGCAAGCCTAGGATTATGGTCTCATCTTGAAATGGCTAGATGTAATTTTCAATTTACAAGCTATAATTTTGTGTCTAAGGAGGATAACTGAGTTAGCTGAGACATACCCACATGGATCTTCCATTAACTGTTATTAGAGCAATTCTACTTGAACCACATACTTCAA